CCTTTTTGTCCACTCTGACCATGATCCTGCAAGAATACGTAAAATGGTTAGCTAAAGTTAACGTTATAATAAAGAGGTTAAAAAAACGTAACTTGGAGTTTTGATCCCTGACAACAGGTAAAGCTTTTTCGTGAAAACCTTTTCTATTTTGCCTCTCCTTCATTTTTTTTTCGCTGTATCCGAAAGTGCCTATCCATGTTATGCGTTCCAAAATATCCGAAACTGAATTTCAACGGGGATTCCATTTTTAACTTCATTAGAACAACTAAAATGTTGGTTCATAAGTCCATTTTAATCATCGGAAATCACATTAAAGGAGACGTAATTTTTTCTAATGTTCAAAACCCAACGGTTATGTAAACTTCCAATTTGATAAAATTAAAACTAAACTTATTTGATAAACATAAGCTAACTCAAAGCATGTTTGATTTGCATCGGATAACAAATATTTTTTAATTGTATGTATCTATATGCTGATTGCAATTTCAAACCACGAAGAAACATAATTTTCCAACGTAAATTTAGTTTAGCACACAAATTTGAAAGTGTTTTTTTTCCTAAAAAGAAAAAAAAAAGACGTTAAAGCAAAGCGCGCTTTCCAACCTCCCCCCCGGGATTGTTTCCATTATTCGTGTTCGAAGGGGAAATTAACGAACATATTTTCACTACGGTTTTACACTAATCAAAAACAATCTAACAAACGGATATGGGTAATACGCAACGAATGAGAATCGTCAAACACCGAGGGTAGGGGTGGAATTTTTTCGAGAGAAAAAAAAGGAAGAAAAGAGTGACGAAACGAAAAGTAATGCACGCGTGACGATCGCAACGCGGCTGCCGGACGAGAAGATCGCAATCGATTGACGATAACCGTCAGAGAAGTAGACGGGAAGTGAATTGCACTGCATCTGACCGCAATGAACGTTCGCTGCGAATGGATTTCGATACGGTTCTCGAGTTATTCACGTTTACGATCTCGAAGCCGAGAAACTCGTTTTGTTTGCTAGGCCCAGTACCGAAATCGACCGAGTCAGCGTCTATATACATTTTGTTCACCAGGTCGAACGACATACGAATTCACTACACGATCTACCGGGATTCACTAGTCGGCTGACGGTTTAGGTACGCCGTAGTCAATTCCGGTCGCAGGGGTATAGTCGCCCGGCCCAACGAATACGAACGGTTTCCATTCACTCACTTGCTCGTTTTACTCGTCCGAGTAGACGGCCGAGTGTTATTTCCTTGAGTTCACACGGGACAACGCTCGGCCGACCGAGGGATACGCGCCAGACAGTGTGATATTGCGAACGTGTCCTGTGCGCACGTTGGGCTCGCGGCTACGCGATTTGTGTGAGTGCGCGTACAGTTATGCGCTGGAGGTTCGGCGTAGATATGACCGTGGTATGTGGGGTAATGGGTAAGCTGAAATTGTGAGCTTCCCGACCGATTGCGACACCGCTTTTCGCGTGTCGTCGGTATTGTAATGTGTTCGAACGGGGGAATACGCGATTGCAACCAGTGGCGTAGCTACCATAGGGCAATCGGGACCCTAGATCACTGAAGGCCTTGGAATGTTTGACTAATTCTGAGACTATATTTCCTGTAAATAATTGAAAATGTTAATAAATTTAATTTCGTGGTAGTTTGATAAAAAACCTTCAAGGAAAGGAGTCTACATAATTTAATAAAGAACCAGCATGAAAATAATAACAAGAAATGTAGAATATTGTGAGAACATTAATTATGGAACGACCGGATTGCGTCCAATGATTGATAAATTATTTATTTTTTTTTTTTCAAACAGAATGTTCGTCCCAGATCTGATAAAATTTTTTTTTTTTTTTTTTTTTTTGTTATCAACCGAGAAACTCGTTTCCGATGTGTGCCCAAAATATTGGCGTTAAATCCAAGCCGCCACCGTCCGTCACTGCTCACTCGGGCCGCGCGCGCGCTGCGGAGTAGTGCTTAGTCCGCTCGGCGGACCGCCGCCGCCGTTGAACTTTTAAGAGGTCGCGTTTATTTTTATTTATCGCCCGACATTATTATGCCGGGACAAAAGCGCTCGTATTCCAGTCTTTAATAATTGTTTAAGCCATTTAGCGCTGCGCTATTTTGTCATCGTATACGCGCGCGTTGGAGGGCCCGCGTGTAATCACTCAAGCTCTCCGCCCGCCATCGTATGGCCGTGCCACTGACGCAGGTAAATTGCGACTCCGGAGTACAGATCCTGCACGCAATCCTGCACGAGAAAAGATAATTCCGCGCGTCGGCCGTCGGACAAATGGGCCGTTCGCCTTTCGGAACGGTCCAACGAATCCGTTACTAATTATCGTACGGCTAAGGCGAACGCGGCCCCGTAGCAGCGGACGGCCTGGTGGACGAGAGGAGGAGAAAGCGAGTGTAAGGAGACGATGGAAAGGAACGGTTGTGGAAAACGAGGACCCGGGAAACCTGAGGGAATGGCACGCGTATCTAGTCGTATTTGCACGCAGAAAACTACATCGTGGTAACGAGCAAGTGCCCGAGGCAATATCCGTCGCGTTATCGTATGATGTTTGTACAGATTTTTGTTCTCGGTCTTACATGTGTTCGCAGTCCCTTTGCGGCGCGTTTAAATTTATATTAGATATCGTTTTCCCTAGAATTGACATTTCATCTCGAATGTTAATCACCGGGAACCTACTTAGAAGCGTTACAACACGTCCCTTCAATATAACCTCTTCGTTCCACCAGTTCCCGTCGCATAAAATATTAAATTATTATTTTTAATCTAATTAAAAACAGCTATAATAACGCTAACAATTTTTTTTCGTTTTTTTTTTTTTTTTTTGTTATTTCACCAATTATCCACGCCTATAAGCTTTTACGGTAATTCAATATCCGTATTACGCGAAACACTTTTAACATTTTTTGCACTTATTTTATTATTATTAGAAATATATTGTTGTAATTTTACTTTATTTTTTTTTTTTTTTTTATAAGAAGCGCATCGTTTCAGCGCGATGGTTTGATATTACAGGCGAAATAGTAATTTTAAAAATGCATCAAGTACAATATGTTTGATTTTTTAAGTACTCAATTTCCATTCTCAAGCACACGATGATTGCATGCACCACTGAACATTTCAATATACCGTTTGCTATATACAAATGCATGTAGTACTAATAAGCGTTTGAAATTTAAATTGTTTAAACTTATTGTTGATCCATAGGGTCTAATAATTATGTACGCGGAGATTATTAACAACCTATGATGTGTACTCGTATGTATATACAAAAACGAGACTGCTCTGGATGACTGATTCATAATCAACTCAATAAACAGCTCAAATTACGAAAACTAGGTGCACAATGGAAAAGAATTTGTAATACCTAATTTTAATTTTAAATTGTTCAAATGGGTAAAAACCAAAATTTAAATAGTCAAATTTTTTAGTTTTTTAATTTCTCTAATTGACATACAACTTTTTTTTTTTTTTATCGAATTACACAATTTTCCTTTATTTGATTAAAATTGAATTGTAATACACGTAAAATAATATCATAACAATTATAAAAACAAACAATAAAATTACTATAAAATTACATTAAAAAATTTTACTTTTGATTTTGAAAGTTGGCGAAATAGGGTTTTAAGTATATTTAGGAGTATTAATAGTGGTAATTTTGATGTATATTTAAAAATTCTTTTTCTATTATCGATCAACGGTAAAAAAAAGATATACAGGTCGTACTAGTTGTAAGAAAATCCGATTTGTTTTAATTGGGTAATTAGATTTATCGTCGCGTTAAAAATATTTTAAAATGTTTATTGAAGAGATTTTTATAAATAGCCTGTTGGTACCTCAAATATTTATTCCTATCGTGGGAGATATAACCTGCCTTTTTAGATAAATTTCGTATCGTTTATTTAATGACCACGAGAGAGGTTCCAAGAGATACGAAATACAATTGTTTCGCTGTTTATTGGAATTACTCCCCTCATATGTCTTACGTTTTGAACTTAAGACAACTTCCTATCTTCTACAGAACGTGCCTGTGAAATGTCAATTCATTCGGTCCACGTTGGTATTTGCGAATAACTCGCAGCAAGTAGAATTTATCTATTTTTAATTGAAGTTTATTGGAACCAAAATCTTCATGTGAAGTTCGTCACAGAAACATTTCCCGTAATTCGTCTAATCGAGAACATTAACAGTAGTGTACACGTCTACAAAGATTACAACGTGTACACGTTTTATTTATTTATTTATTTAATTTATTTTTTCTTTTATAATCATTAATGGACATTTATCTCAAGATTACACGGTAATATTTTATCGACAGTGTAACCATACATAAAATATAGGCTATTGATTAAAGGTACGATTTCTTATGTGCGACTAATCGCAGTGCCACGAATGTTTTTCGGTTAGCGTTCGTGGTCGACGTACAGCGGATTCACTTCATTTACAAACTTTAATAGTCTCGTATATTTCTACACTTTTTGTTTTAATAATTAAGCCCACTACAAAGTATTTTCCTACTTTAAGAGGTATATATTTGGAAATATCGTATCGTATGATTTTTATAATTTGAATTTCCTGCATTATAGAACACCGATTTTTTTTTTTTTTATTGCACTTCTTACAAAAGAATTTCCTCTTCGGATACCGAAAAAACCAAAGTTTATGCCGTATTGTGCCGGAAAACTTCATCAAACCTACTTAGATCGTCATGACCTGTCGTTGCGTCGTGCCGACCAAAGTGTACCATTTTCGTATATACCAGGGATGGGCAACTGGCGGCCCGCGTACCTTTTTTATCTGGCCCGTGCTATATTTTCAAATTGCTTCATATAATTTTAGCGCTTATCTGTATTTTATTTTATTTTATCACGTTTTTCGATAAAATTTGGATATAAATTCTTATCTAGTTTTAAACCGAAACTAAATTTTAGTAATATTTGTTTGAATATAATATTTGTTGAAAATAAATTAATACATTTTCCGTGTTGTGAAGTTATAAAACAAGAATTTGATATTGAATTTAATTTTGAACATTGCATTACCCACATTGACGAATTAATTGTAGAATTCAAAAGACGATTTGAAAAAGTTGAACTTGTGCGTCCTCAAATAAATTTATTTAATAATCTTATGTCAGTTAAAATTGAAAAGCAAGATCCTTCACTTCAATTAGAATTATGTGAATTACAAACAGATCCATTTTTATTTGCAAAAGAGATTGATGTGTCATTTTGGAAAATATTACCAGTTGACAAATATCCAATTTTAAGAGATTTCTCATTAAAAATGTTTTCTATGTTTGGAACCACATACATATGCGAATGTACATTTTCGAACTTGAAACATATTAAATCGAAGGAAAGAAATCGTTTAACAGATGAAACCTTGGGACATTTACTAAGAGTTTCAACTACAGAAATATAAGTGGATTTTACTAAATTGTTTATTGAAAAACCTCATCCTCAAGTATCACATTAAATAATAATTATAAATATAAATAAATAAAGATAAAAAAGAAATATTAGTAAATTTGAAGGACCTTTTTTTTTTTTTGCTTTCTCCTATGCAGTGCGGCCCGCTAGATTTTCAAGTACTTAAAAGTGGCCCGCTAGTTACTTTGAGTTGCCCATCCCTGGTATATACGGTTATTCACGTGCCTTGTCGCAGCGACCGGTGGTTCACCCCTGGGAAACCGTATTTTATTGATGGAATATTCCAGGAGTGACCATCATATTGGTATGCCACGTGGATAAATATAATGATATCAATAGCCAAAATATTTATGTTCACAGTTTATAATATTTTGTAATTCGATACAGTCTGTACTCTAAGAATATAAAAGTAACACAGATAGTTAACACTGCTAACAACCTATGAACATAACCAAGCTACGTATTATTAGTTCTTTGTTACTCGGTTTTGTTTACATTTCGGACTATTCAACGAATCCCAATACATTTTGTTGCTTCATTTAATCTATGTTATCGAACGGTGCTCTCGTAAACATTTTAATTTTTATAAAAATATTTGCAACATCTTACGATTGTTCAATTATGATGTAAAATTCTGAAAGATCGGTGAAATGTAAATACGAAGAAGAAAATATTAATTACGGACATTTCAACAAATTAATGTTTTCACGAGTTTAAAAATGATATTTCTAATTTTTCGACTCTTACGCTCGTTTTATTCGAATCTACGGTATAACCCTCGGTTAGTCATATTTGTTTGTTGTATTCCGAAGGATGTATACGTAAAAGAGAAGAATTATTGGATCTAATTACTTTAAAGGTAACTTTCGGGGTATTAACGTTAAGTGTACTCTCGATGAAACACTACGAAAAGCTGAAACTCGGCGAAAAAAATTGTTAGCATTTTAACTAATGGGGCTCCTACTATAGTGGTCTGTAATAGCACTTTAAAAAAACGATACTAATTTCTCAGATTTATACTCATTCAGTGTATTATCCATTGAGAAAAATAGACTGCTAAATATTTTCAATATGGTTACGTGGTTGATGTTGTTTTAAATATTGTAAATTACGTTCATGTGCAATAACACATCATCAGTTTAAAACATTAATGAAAACATAAAATATGATATTCCATATGACGTCCTATAGTATTTTATATTTTGATGGTTATTGGAAAATAACATTTTAACCGAATGTTTTCGATTACCAAACCGATCATAGTATTTTTAGAAGAAAAACCTAAAAGTTTTCTCAACTTTCAAATTTCAATTCTTTCGAATTCAAATTCTATTTTATTAAGACAAATTACATTTTTCACAAACTTCATCCATCAACAATCAATGTTTCTCTTCAAGGACAAAATAAATTAGTAAGTGACCTAAGAAAAATAATATTGAGTTATCAAAATGAACTAAAACTTTAATAAAATAAAATGATACAATTTTAATCTTTTTTTATGTTAGGAAAAAATAGAACGGTGTTTAATAGAATCAGAAATACAAAATAATTGTGACGATCACGTACTCAAACTTAAATTTCTATTTGCCAACTTTGAAGAACGATTTCAAGACATAAAAGTTTTAAAGCCTTCATTCCGATTTTAAGAAAAACTATTATTAAACAATATCATTGAAAATATATATCCACTATCATATAATATTCTAACAGTTAAGGTATTTCTCGAAATAGAACTTTTAGAGTTATTAAAAGATCTTAAATGGTACAAAAAAAAATTGTCACTCTATAATTAGATTTTGGAAACTTTTTCCTATTTGAAAAGACTCAAGAATTAAAAACTGTGCGGCGAAATTAATGTAGATCTTTAGAACTACATATTCACGTCAATTTCTGTATTAAAAAATGAAAATTATTAAGACAAAATATCGTTAAAATTTAGATTATATGATCATCTCACATAATAACTCAGGATTGTCTAAAAGACATGAAAAAAGTATTGCGCAAATAAATCAAATTGTACATTTATATTTTATTCATTATTCATATTTCGTTATTAAATATTTTTTGTTTGCCGATCCAAATTTAAATATTTTTGGTTTTTTTTTTTCATGTCTATCAAAAAGAATTAAAATTTTTAATAATAATAATAATAATAAAACGCAATCATTGAATAAGCCATAATTGTAATATTTCTATTCTCGTTCAAACGGTCAAAATTATATTATTAAGTGTAATATTTTTTATTTTTTTTTTTTTTAAGTAACCAAAAGATCGTGTTATATAATATAGGGTTATCATGTATAGGGATTTCAAGTAGGCTGACCAATACTAAATATATTATTTTCTGACGGACAAAGGGTCTATTGTGTATGCGTTTATATATATATATATAGGGTTAGTTAGTTATATATATATACTTTTTTAGGCGAGAGGGAATGAAGTAGATATCGGCCACGGTGTAGGGGTAAGAGGGGGGAGTTGAGAGAGAAAATGTAGTGGTGGTCATGTGAACGGACAACGAAATAATTCCTGGTCCGCCTGGAGCTAAGTTATGCAGAGCACGTGGCCCCATCTGGCGTGACAGCTTTTTCGACCATCCTTCAGCATGCTAAATAATTGAAACATCGAACGAATCAGTATAGCAGTCACGTTTCGCATTCAACAGAGCATTCTCCCTCCCTTTCCTCTTGAAGGGCTTCAAAAATCACGGAAGACAACTGACGTTTAATCTGCAGTCTGTTCATAAATGACACCTGAAAGAGGCACAGAACGAGCTTAACAATTCATAATAAACTATTTTATTTTTATTATTGTTGTTATTGTTATTTTTGTTATAAATAAAATATGTATATAGTACTCTTCGACGAGTCAATATTTCAAAATGTCAGTATTATTATTATTATTATTGTACGTTTCTAACATTTTATTGAAGTCCGTATTCACCACACGATTTTATGCTCGTGTATCGATGGCGTACAAAATACATTATCGCGCAAGCGCGCTCATAATAACACACGAATAAGATACCGATAAACTTAATGCTTTTTTGCTTGAAATCTTGGCTAAAAAATAATATTTTACAAGTAGTTGTACGCACCTGTTTATCGGATTCGATACTCGGTGTTTGGCGAATAGTAGTTCTGGAAATTCACACAGGTCGATTGATTATATTATCCTTTTTATATGTGAATTTATGCACGAAATGTCTTTTGTTACTACAGCTGATAAAATATAAGACAAATTAATTTATCAACAAATGTTTTCTGATATTAGGCATATCAAATGTATAATACGTTAGTTAACAATGCTCGACTGTATGATATAGTATATAGTTTATAAAATACGTCAGAATGGACTTTGACGATAAATAACCGCTTTAAACAAGGATGGAAAATAAGTGGTATGGGGGAAATTTTCTTAAGTGCCAGAGATACATTCATGAAATAATTTTTGATTCTTACATATAATATTTAACAACATAACTTAATTTTCAATTACACGTGTATTAATAATCCATATTTACTTTTATTGTAATATTTATTATTTATATTTTAAACTAAGACAAATGCATTTGAATAATTTCCAGAATCAGGATAATAAATATTAGATGATATGAACATTTTTTAATAAACGAATTGGGATTTTTGCTACAATTTATCAAGTATTCTTGATATTATTAAAATACTGTGGTCGCAAATATTTTAAAATAACTGAAAAATCAATAAAAATTATTAAACATTCAGATTTAATCGATTTTGATAATTATAATCTTAATTAGATGCGGTTACAAAATATGAAAATGCAGTCAAAATCAATGTATAACTTGTACGTAAGTGAAATCATGTTTAAAATTCATGAACTAGTCATTTATGGTCGATATTCAAAACTAAATGTATAACTAACTTCCTAATTTATACTAATATCTATAATTTATTACACTTTGCAAACCAATTATAAGTAACTTCTAAAACAAGAAGCTTAAGTGTTGTACAATATATATAGGTATATAAAATATGTATCTACAAACAAGTATTCAACAATATGGGAGATATTATTTGGATTTAAAAGTATTAAGTTGAACATAATTCAAATATAATCAAAATCAGGTTATAAGTAAATATAAAACTTCAACATACTATACATTTTCCAAAAATTGTTTAAAAATATTACTCTACTGGAATATGTAGAAAAAAAAAGTGGTTACAATTTAAAAAAAAAGTAAATTCTAATCGACATCCGAGTCAAAAATCTGAAATTTGTCTGAAATTGTGTGTTTTGGTACTCCCTTTCGTTCCTCGAAAACTTGATTTCAAAACAAGATCATCTAAGTCTCATAATGCGTTCAGTTAACTGTAACATCAAGGGTTATAACGCATAATTTGCTACTTCTGAATTCATGTTCATTTGTAAGACAGAGACAACACATTCGAGTTTGTTTGGTCGCCGTACGTCAAATGTACATCGAAAAGCCCACTCGTCCAACGGGTGACTGACGACCGTCGTTATCGTCGTGTTTCTATCGAAATATATTTCCGGATAAAACAAGCTCGATCCCAAATCGTTTCAAAACGGACAATGCAGATTTGTGTTTAATTATTTGTAAACAATCTTCAATTAACACAAATCGTCAATGATGCATGATATTATTTATTGTAAAACAGAATGAATAGATAAACAATATACTATGCCATGCTATGAAATTAATTTAAATGTTTAGTAATTTATCTTAAACAAACCAAGTATGTGAATAAACATGGGATTCGAAGTTAAAATATTTTTTCTTACATAATCGATCACTATTCAATTGTCAGCTATTAGATTTTATGCCAGTACACGTACATAGTACTACAGAATATAATAAATAATCAAGTAAATTTAATAACAACAATAAATGACTATGGAAGAACACAAATTTCAAAATTATTTTTCGATTTTGTAATAGTTGAAAATATTTTCGATTTATTAAATATTTTACATATAATAAGTTATTCA